CCCCCCCCCCCCCCCGGTCACGTCTTATGCCGACATTAAGTTGGTGAATACATATTCAGGTTTTTGACTAGTGCAGTCTAAATGACATATGCGTATCTGTTGCGTCACTAAAGCGATCGATTTAAGATCAGGGAGCAGACGCTCATCTGGAATAGAGTTTACTTGTGCGGTAGTTGCTTAGTATATAATTCCTACTTTTCGCTGAAAAGGTTCTTTTGCCCTATCATTACAGATAGTCAAAGTACATCAGGACACCGTGGACAGTTACTTTAGAGACATAGCCGAGGCAACTATGGACTCCACTGCTGACTTGCATGCCAGAAACGAATACGATGCTATCGGCGCAAGCTGGGTTGCGGAACAACGTCGCTCCGACAAACAGAGGACAGCCGAAGAGGAAGCCTCCGATCTGGTCTACAATTTCCTGATCCCCGAGGTACTCGCCAGTGCATTTCAGAGCAACAAGCAGTAATATTGTCTCTTTTTTGCAATTTTGCCAGAAGGTACTCGGTTTACAGAGACCTGAAGAGCCATACACATTGCGGATTCGCCTACCGGCCTCAGATGCTGTAAATGTTTCCCACTGCCGTCACAACTTGAGTAAGGATCCTCTCGAAACCTGCAGTTTTCACAACAGGCATCAGTGCAAGGTCCTATGGGGATTTCAGTTTGGCTGTTCAAATACTAAAATCTCTCACAAGTCAGTCATCCAGGAGAACAGGTGTTCCCAGTAAACTTATCTGCCTGACAATTCGACCGTCGCAAACAACCATTTTCACTACAGTGCGTGAGCAATCTCATGAAATGATGGCCAAAATACTGAAATGGGTTTTCGACTAGAAAGGATTAATAAGGTGGCGTTGTAATAGTAATTATCGTGTAGCATAATCTAATAGTATTTCGGCCTCGTCAGGGTGTTGGTTTTTCAATTCACTTCTTCCTGACCTCCTGCAGAAGCCCAACTCGGTAAAAAAATGACTACTTAAGTAGCATGCATTTTCCACATTTACTTTCGTTAGTCTTGTAAATTTAACTATATTTTATAGAAAACATGCACAAGCATATGATTTCTTTTACCTTTTTGGTAGAAAACCACGTTGTCTTTACACTTTATACCCGAAAAAAGTGTATATTTGAATTTCGAAAAGTTTTCCCAATTCCCGAATAATTTTGGGCCTGATCAGCCGCCGCGTTAGCGTTTAGACATTTCAGTCTACAAGGTGCATGCGTTCTGAGTAATGTAAATCATATATTCCTCTATGATTTTCAAAAGACACCAAATAGAGTGCATAAAATTTTGCACTGGTTGCCGACCTTGTTGTACATTTCAGGAGAAGTATTTGTAAACATACCTGTGCGATGCTACAGGAATGGGTATCGCACGGTCTTAAAAATTTCATAATTAGAAACTTTTTTAAAACCGAAAGCTAACCTTTTTGGGGCATAAATATAAAAACAATGTGGTTTTCTACCAAACAATTAAAACAAAGCATATGCTTAT